TTCTAACTTGACGCATTTTCGATGAACGGTTTTTGAGTTATTGCCCTTGACTTTGTTAAAACGCGTCGAAATTTGTTAAAAATAATTCGTGAGCAGGATTGAAGCTACAGTTTTCAACCGATTCTGATGAAACTTGGTGTGATCATTGGAATTGATAAGATCTCGGACAAGTTCTAACTTGACGCATTTTCGATGAACGGTTTTTGAGTTATTGCCCTTGACTTTGTTAAAACGTGTTGAAATTTGTTAAAAATAGTTTGTGAGCAGGATTAACGCTACAGTTTTCAACCGATTCTGATGAAACTTGGTTTGATCATTGGAATTGATAAGATCTCGGACAAATTCTAATTTGACGCATTTTCGATGAACAGTTTTTAAGTTATTGCCATTGACTTTGTTAAAACGCGTCGAAATTTGTTAAAAATAGTTCGTGAGCAGGATTGAAGCTACAATTCTCAACCCATTCTGATGAAACTTGGTGTGATCTTTGGAATTGATAAGATCCAGGACAAGTTCTAACTTGACGCAATTTCGATGAACAGTTTTTGAGTTATTGCCCTTGACTTTGTAAAAATGCATCGAAATTTGTTAAAAATAGTTCGTGAGCACAATAGAATTATTCAGCATAAATAATTTCTTCAATATGAGAAAATTCGTACTTTAGTCACTAAAGACTTTTATTATTTCTGACAGCTACCAGTGGGCGTATATTACCTTGCATCGCAAGCTACCTTTTTGATTGATATTGTATGTATGTGTTCAAATTTTTAAATATTTTTCAGGATCGTGATTTCTTTAGAAATTACCATAAAGGCATTGGAGGTGCGGAAAACTCATCAACATTGAGAGCTCTGTATTATCCCCCTTTACCAGAAATAGGCGAGAGTTTTATTTTAATGACTTTTCAAGTCTGCTTGAGGACCAAGAGTTGGCAAATTGTCAAAAATGTTTCCGGCATTATGAACGGCAATCTCTGTCATGTCAAATTATCAGATTTAGCAGGTACTTCAAAGTTAATATGTTTTTTCAGATATTAAAGAAGGATAGCTACGATGTGGGGAACATGTGGATTATCGTTTTGTAACCTTTCTTGTTCAAGATCTGGATGGTGGTTTGGAGGTAAATACTTTTACCTAGATAATAGAAAGTTAGGGAGAGCAATAGTACAGGAATATATTTGTAGAATATTTTCTGAAATTAAATATAACCCCTTGTCATGTTCATACAAACATTATGTCAATAGATAAATATCTGTTTTAGATTTACCATGCTCTAAGTATTTGTCATCGTATCTTTTGGATGAGTTGAGAAATTTTCAAAAATGCCATATTAAGGCTGATAGAAATGGTAAAGCAGATTGAAGCCTGATCCGGATTGCAACTGTATTATTAACCTTTTGAGTTTTATATTGTTGATGTGTAATAAGGTGGTAAATATATCAGATTGAAGCCTGATCCAGATTGCAACTGTATTATTAACCTATTGCATGTTATATTGTAAGTGTGTAATAGAGGTGGTAAATATATCAGATTGAAGCCTGGTCCAGATTGCAACTGTATTATTAACCTATTGAGTGTTATATTGTAATTGTGTAATAGAGATGGTAAATATATCAGATTGAAACCTGATCCAGATTGCAACTGTATTATTAACCTATTGAGTGTTATATTGTAAGTGTGTAATAGAGGTAGTAAATATATCAGATTGACGCCTGATCCGGATTGCAACTGTATTATTAACCTATTGAGTGTCTATATATTGTAGGTGTGTAATAGAGGTGGTAAATATATCGGATTGACGCCTGATCCAGATTGCAACTGTATTATTAACCTATTGAGTGTTATATTGTAAGTGTGTAATAGAGATGGTAAATATATCAGATTGACGCCTGATCCAGATTGCAACTGTATTATTAACCTATTGAGTGTTATATTGTAGGTGTGTAATAGAGATGGTAAATATATCAGATTGAAGCCTGATCCAGATTGCAACTGTATTATTAACCTATTGAGTGTCTATATATTGTAGGTGTGTAATAGAGGTGGTAAATATATCAGATTGACGCCTGTTCCAGATTGCAACTGTATTATTAACCTATTGAGTGTTATATTGTAGGTGTGTAATAGAGATGGTAAATATATCGGATTGAAGCCTGGTCCAGATTACAACTGTATTATTAACCTATTGAGTGTTATATTGTACGGGTGTAATAGAGATGGTAAATATATCAGATTGAAGCCTGATCCAGATTGCAACTGTATTATTAACCTATTGAGTGTTATATTGTAGGAGTGTAATAAAGGTGGTAAATATATCAGATTGAAGCCTGGTCCAGATTGCAACTGTATTATTAACCTATTGAGTGTCTATATATTGTAGGTGTGTAATAGAGGTGGTAAATATATCAGATTGAAGCCTGATCCAGATTGCAACTGTATTATTAACCTATTGAGTGTCTATATATTGTAGGTGTGTAATAGAGGTGGTAAATATATCAGATTGACGCCTGTTCCAGATTGCAACTGTATTATTAACCTATTGAGTGTTATATTGTAGGTGTGTAATAGAGATGGTAAATATATCGGATTGAAGCCTGGTCCAGATTACAACTGTATTATTAACCTATTGAGTGTTATATTGTACGGGTGTAATAGAGATGGTAAATATATCAGATTGAAGCCTGATCCAGATTGCAACTGTATTATTAACCTATTGAGTGTTATATTGTAGGAGTGTAATAAAGGTGGTAAATATATCAGATTGAAGCCTGGTCCAGATTGCAACTGTATTATTAACCTATTGAGTGTTATATTGTAGGAGTGTAATAAAGGTGGTAAATATATCAGATTGAAGCCTGATCCAGATTGCAACTGTATTATTAACCTATTGAGTGTTATATTGTAATTGTGTAATATAGATGGTAAATATATCAGATTGACGCCTGGTCCAGATTGCAACTGTATTATTAACCTATTGAGTGTTATATTGTAAGTGTGTAATAGAGGTGGTAAATATATCAGATTGAAGCCTGGTCCAGATTGCAACTGTATTATTAACCTATTGAGTGTTATATTGTAGGTGTGTAATAGAGGTGGTAAATATATCAGATTGACGCCAGGTCCAGATTGTAACTGTATTATTAACCTATTGAGTGTTATATTGTAGGTGTGTAATAGAGGTGGTAAATATATCAGATTGACGCCTGATCCAGATTGCAACTGTATTATTAACCTATTGAGTGTTATATTGTAAGTGTGTAATAGAGGTGGTAAATATATCAGATTGACGCCTGGTCCAGATTGTAAATGTAGGTGTGTAATAGAGGTAGTAAATATATCAGATTGAAGCCTGGTCCAGATTGCAACTGTATTATTAACCTATTGAGTTCTATATTGTTGGTGTGTAATAGAGATGGTAAATATATCAGATGGACGCCTGGTCCAGATTGTAACTGCATTATTAACCTATTGAGTGTTATATTGTACGTGTGTAATAGAGATGGTAAATATATCAGATTGACGCCTGGTCCAGATTGCAACTGTATTATTAACCTATTGAGTGTCTATATATTGTAAGTGTGTAATAGAGGTGGTAAATATATCAGATTGAAGCCTGATCCAGATTGCAACTGTATTATTAACCTATTGAGTGTTATATTTTATGTGTGTAATAGAGGTGGTAAATATATCAGATTGACGCCTGATCCAGATTGCAACTGTATTATTAACCTATTGAGTGTCTATATATTGTAAGTGTGTAATAGAGGTGGTAAATATATCAGATTGAAGCCTGATCCAGATTGCAACTGTATTATTAACCTATTGAGTGTTATATTGTTGGTGTGTAATAGAGATGGTAAATATATCAGATTGAAACCTGATCCAGATTGTATTTGTATGATTGTTGGCAATGTCTTACAGAGATTTACTTCTGATAAACTTCTAGCTACTGTAAGTCCTTATCATTAAAGCTATCTTTTTTTTTAATTTCGCTCAATTTAATTAATTGAAAAAAAGATTCCACATGTCAGCCATATTTTCCACAAAAAGCCATGTTAGGCAAATTCTAGCGTAAGTGGAGTATAATAGCTTTAATTCTAATTCAGCCGCCCTGATAATTTTGTGTCAACGAACGGCTTAAAGAATTGTGTCATCTCATTAAAATTGAAAGTATATATATATATATATATAGTTCTATGGTCGACATTGCAAGATTTTTGAAAAATATGATTAATTAATATTTCATATTTACTCACATACACAGCAACACTGAATTATATCTGTATAACCTTAAAGGGACATATTGGAGGGGTTGATTTGAGTCTTCACATTATTCAAATAGTCTTCAGAAGTACTAGAAAATCGCATAATTCCTTCAAAAATATCTCCATTAGGAATTTCTCTTCATATACTATAGATGTCTTTTCTATGTTTGGCGGTGTCTCAAGAAAAGACGACTCGTCTCTTTGACGTTCTGGATAATGCCGGACACACATGGATTACTGATTGGCTTAGCTAAAACAAAATCCCATTTCTGAGAAAAAAGGTACGATTTAACGTCAGTCGCTTTGATTTATACTCATTATAGTAATTCTGGTATTCTAATTATTTCCCTTAAGTTGATAAATTATTAAGCAATGCAATTTAAAGGTTTAAAGGTTAAATAAATCATTATTTTGTGTTTTGTTCTTCACGAACACTGGACATCGTTATTAAAATGGTGTTCACATTGACCAGATGCAGAAAAGTAGGGCGTAAAACTCCATTCATTTCATTTAATTTGATTTCATTTAATTTCACCTGGACTAGAAACTAAAATTTTGATGTGTCCTGTCAGCTCTCAATCTGTGTCAAGGATAATCAACTTAGATTAATCAAATGGACTTATGTCAGCTGTGATTACCTAACCTAATTTTCCTCCGAATAAGATCGTAAAACACGTCAAATTACTTTCGAAAACTACACATTTTAAGCTTACAAAAATTAAAGCCACTTAAGAACCGCTAAGAAATTAAGAAAGTAGAATTGGAGTTTTTCAGTAAACTGAAAACTTTTTCATATTTCTCATCATATCAATTTTACCACTTTACCATAATTTTGCTTCATGTGACTGAATAGGATGGATTTCGAAATTGTCCCTACGGATAAATTAAACCCGAACCGCAAAACTCGAATCCAAAACAGCATTTTGGCGATTTTTTTCAGATGAGGAAATATATCAATCATACGTGAGTATTTCATAATGAAACGTGGTGTCAGGTGTCTAGAAGAAAAGCATACCCTGCCTGGTCCTAACGCATGGTTCTCACATGGAAATGACACACGAACCATTACTTAATAAGTATATAATACCTTTTTTCAGAAACATCGTGTACTGGTTCCGGAGGACGAAGTTTTGAAACAGAGAGCACGCCAATCAGTGGCCTTCTTTATACACCATGATAATGAAATCATTATACAGTGTCTGGACGGAAGTGACGTGTATGAAACTATATCTGCTGTTGATTATCTGGAATGGAAATTCAATCAGTTATTTAAAATGAATCCGGGTAAATTGACTGGAGGGGGGAAGGCATAGTAGTACAATTGTAATTTATGCCTATCTACTGGCTGAAATAGTAGCAAAATGAATTATTAGTTTATTTCCTATCTTTTAGTGATCTGATGGCAATATTAGTGTACACCATGGAGATGATCCATTCATTATTGATGCATGCAACACTATGTAACCCCTGAAACTAAAATGGCAAGACTTTTTGAGTAATTAAATCATTTTTTCTATTAAAAATTAAACGAAAACTGAATAAAAGGAAAGAAAAATATCTCCCGCCCATCTGTCCCTTTAAATGTATTTAGAGGTAATTTTACTTTTTTTTATGCACCTACTAATTAATTAACTACATTTATCTGTAATGTATTGAAACCTTATTTTCCATTTGAATCAAACTCTATACCAAATCTATATTACACAAGAGTCAATAGTTTTGTCACTAAGACATATATTTTCGTATCTGACATTTACATTATTGTTGTAAGTACATGTACTGTAGATTTGTATTAGTCTGGTGTCTAAAAGCTAAAATTCCTTGAAAGAAAAGATAAATTAAAAAGTGCAAATTTGGAATACATGTGTAATCTATTTCGTGTTTCATTTTTATGCACAATAGATATACCATGCTCAAGTTACCTGATTTAAATTGCTCCACCTGAAACCATGTAAAAGGATCACGTGCAATTTGTCAATGAATAAGTATACACGATTTAAGTCAGCAAGCTCATCTAAACCGTTTAATTAATGGTCCAAAGCGAATTAGGTCCAGAGTAACTTTAATTTTACCATTAAATTGGCCAGTTTATAGATATATTTAAGATAATTTTATGAGGTGCATACGAAATATAGCATTAAATGCACTGGATCCGTTTGTCAGTAATCATATTATTAGTTTATTATTCAGGCAAAATATCTCTCATTGTACACTCCATTGTAAAATCTCATTTCATTACTTAATCAGAAGTGAAATTAACATAAGTTTAAAAGAGGATAAAGAGTACATTCTGATTATGACAATCACATTGATGTTAGATAAATACATCAGCAGTAAAAACTAATGCAGTCTCCTATGCAATTTCGAACATTTCTGATATATTTTTTTTTTCAATTTTTGTCATATATTGTTGAAAAGAGAACCACAAGGGCATTTATAATCCCGACCTGATGGATGTAAGGCTAAAAGCAAAAAATTAATATATTAAAATTTCAAGGTCATGTAATGTCAAAAGATTTATATTTTCAACTTTTCAACCAGAAAACGGTACATCGGTCCGCAAATAAACTCTACAGACTTCGAAACATTTTGTTTTCACATTTGTTAAAACCCAAATTGGTCTTGCAAAAATGTTCCGGTATATTCCATATGAAATTTCCCACAAGTGTAAAAAACTGATACCATATTCAATTTTCCCTACGGATGATAGTCAGAATTATAAACAAAAATAATATAGGTAAATCACTTTGCTATGCACAAAACTGTAATTGTAGTGTGGGCTAAGTCTAAACTGAAGTTGGTTGAAAAAATATCGATAAATATCGTATTCGAAACGACAGAATCCATCAAATACTGCTGCCTGGAGAATGAATATGACAAACCCGAATTGACGGACGGACAGCACGACGACACTAAAAAAAGAGGTAAATCAAAATACAGTTCAATATGTTTATTAATTTTGGAAAATAAAAATTATTATTTACACAAGTTTATAATATATACAGTTAAAAACAATACAGGCAGTTTAATTCTAAAAATGCTCAACACAATAAACTGACAGTTAAAAAGCCCATAATAATATAGTTGGACACTATAAACAGGTTTTTCTTAAAGCTTACAGGTATTGCATGAAAATAGGCCAAGCTTTTCAAATTTTTTCCTTTTCAAACACAGACTTACATACTTCGGTTGAAAGCACGGGCGCAGATCCACATTTAGAAATGAAATTAATTTTACATCCTACTTTTTTGCACCATGTGCGCTAATGATGACGGACCAGCTGTTTAGAGAAGTAGTCTTTTTCTCCTTTGATATCGCCATGCATTTTGATAATCATATTGTCCACAAGTAGTAGTGGGGGTCAATCATATTATGTCCTCACCACCGACAAAAGTGGTGGGGACCTGGCCCTGTGTCCATACTGCGATCTGCACCCAGTGTGTTAATTAGTGTTCAATCAATTTTTAATTTTAATTGTTTTGTTCAAAATCTGTGTGAGTAATAATGTCAAGTCTTTCTGTTGATTGTGATTCATTTGAGTTGATCTGCGAGCCAACTAACTAGACTATAAATGTAAGTCCTATAAATAGACAGGTAGACTAATTTTCATTAGTTACCCATAAGCCAGCCATTTGTATCAAAAATAAATTTGCCCATAAAATAAATAACCTAAAAATTGTATACTACTATAAAATTCACAACTGAAACTGAACAACTGAACTGATCAGGGAATATGATATGATCAAAAAAATAAAATAAATAGTACTCTAATTATCATACGGTTAAATGGTTTTATAATTAATATAAATAATAAATAATTAAATATCCTTTAGCTAGTCTCAGAGATTTATGCACACCTTGATGTACCAAGAACATGTCTGCTTTTCAATTTAACTTTAATAATGCCCAAAATTAATTGAAGTCATGAAGTTCCACTTTACCACTCATTTCTTATGTAAGTGTAATTCTTCAAATTCTGCAAATTTTAGATTTTGCACCTGTGATTACTTTACCACAGATAATAATAGACTGTTCATGTTGATGTCTTAGATATGCATAAGTATCGAAAGTGACTATAAGAAACATGATATGTTATTTTTCTTATACATTATAAATAATTCAGCAGCTAACTAACATTGCTCCACACATTACACAGTTTATATAGTTTGAACAATCAAATTTTCTTCTTAATTTTTAAGTTATCTCCAATTTCTCCAAGATCTTATCAGGAAAGCTTAAAATGCTTAAAATCAGTTTCAAAGTAAAATTCTAATAATTACTAGGTTTCCATAAACATAATAAACAAAATAATAAAATGGGTTTGATTTGGTGTAAGCTTGGAACCAGCTTCATTGTTGATTATTTGTATTTTTTAAACAGTTGAATTTGATACTATGGGTACCATAATGGTCAATATACTTGAAAACCCCTTTAACTATTAAAATTCAGATTTACCATACTGTTAAATTTCACAAATCTAAACAATTTTCAATGCAATATATGCCTACAGTTTTATAGTAATATGGCCATCTTTCTTTGTTCATCCTTAACATCAATTCAATTATCAGATAAAATAAAATTGAGGAACATTAATGGCACGGCATGAATTAAGCACTCTATTAAAGATTTCAAATGATATCTACACTTTAGAAAAGTTATTTACATAAATTAAAATAACTCAAAACTCCTTACTTGGGTATCAATAATTTCTCATCCAATATAGATAGATATAGAAATAAGTTGTCATCAAGAAATATCACAATCTGGACAATCTCAATTCTTCGAACAAAACATGAACAAAATGTTCTGGTCAATAATACTCTCTCAAAGGTTTCCTTTATTGTATAATTTTGAACAAACATAGCCTTAATTTACACAATTTGAATTTTGAATTGACACTCTGAATGAAATCATAATATGCAGAGTTGTATTTTTTTTTTAAGATAGCAACATACTCTATTTAGAACACTGTTATATTTTGGGTTTATCCAAGTAAAGAGCTTTGAAAAAAACTATGATATAACACACTTTAAAAATGATAAGATAAGGCAAGTCTGTATGGCACTAGATAATATTTCTATTGCTCACCAAGACTCAATTATCCAGAAACCTTTCATATACCATAAATATACATTAATGGATGGCACAAACAATAATATGACATCTAACAACATTTTTATGTTGCATGTTATAAGGAATTTGATACAGAAATAACAGACATTTTGATACAAACAGAAATTTGACAGTCCATTTCAGATTCACAAGAAACAAAAAGATGAACAAATCAATTGTTGAAACCAAACTAACCTTTTAGCCTATGTTTATTTATCTATTTTTTATCAAAATCAAAGTTTCACCACTATGCAAAATATAGTCTCACTTAAATCTCAATTTTGAGAATTTTGAATTTTTGAGAAAGGGTCACTTAAAAAAGACTAGTTTACTCAAGGCATAATAAGGAAAAATATTATTATACTTATGTTGTGATTTTGAAATACATCCTTAATACTAGAAAAAGTGAAAGCTAATGTTGAACAAACAGAAATATAGCTTGCTTCTGTTTTGATAAATTTTCAATCAGGAACAGGGAAATTTGGTTACTTTGATTTTGAAAATAGTCTGGCCAGTGACCAATACTGTAGCAAATTTGCTTAAAGCTTCTACCAACTAACTGACCATTTAGTTTCTGATAATTGCCAATTAACTTTTGATCAAGGTCAACTAACTAACCATGGTTAACTGGTTACTGATGGTGGGCAATTGGTTATTATTAACCATGATTAACTATTAACAATCGGTGGCAGTTACACATGTTGCAGACAAACTGAGGGTTCAAGTATATTCATTTTTATGAAAAAGACACAGAGCAAATCTTCCAAAAAAGCACATATGTTCCTTTTTTTGCATATTCGGTTTTCTTTGATGAAATGCATATGATATCACAACCTCACTTTCAGTTTCTAAACCACATCACTATAGTAACAACATCACACGGTGTTTCATCACAAATATCACTGGTTAATATCAACCAATTAAATGTCTTTTTGAACAGCACCTCTTGATTTAAAAAAAGTCTTTGTGACATGATTTACGATTGAATGAAATATTTCTACTTCTGGTCTTAATGACCAAATTTGGGCATCAGACATTTGTCTCTTTGTTGTGGATTCCATTTTTAGTATGATTGTGGTTAATTATCTAAAAAAGAAAATATTTTCAAATTAACACAAAGAAATATTGATTATTGTTCAAATTCTACATTGGAGGAAATAATACTCGCTTAAAAGCCTCCAAACTTTATTTTTTACAAGTCAAAGATAACAGTTTTTTTTCTCAGTTGAAAATGTATTTCTGATAAACTTTCACCCAATACTTACATTTTGTTGTAATAAAGTTTCACCTTGGACCCCATTTTCATTTCTGTGTGACCTCTCTTCTCTTCTTTTCTTCCTATTATATCAAACAGTACAATAATTTATATACATATATCAAGTGTGAAACAGAAGGTGTTTATTTCATCTGTCTTTTTGCAGTATCACCTTAATATTTGTGGTCACGTCATACTATTTCACTGACTATTTCCAAGCTATTATTTACCCTAAATTCTTACGAAAGTGAAACTTTCTGAATGACACTTTCTAAATATCTTAAGATTTTTTAGAGAAAGGCCAGACTTAAAGGGACTGCAAGACCACTTACCTGATTTTGATAACATAATAAACTATGACTATAACAATAATTAAAATAATAACACAGACACCTGCTGCCACTCCACCTATTACCACTTTACCTCCTGTTTGCACTGAAAGTATACAGATATAACAAATTAACACTTGAAAACATATTAGTGAACATTTAGGCATCATCATCCTAGGATTGACAGACTCAAGATTAACATAGCTTCCTTCCCTGAGATAGCTCATGTGCTTACCTACTTTTCACTTGAACACAGAACCATTATAGAACTATTAAATTTCACATCAAGTTCAGAGAAATGCCTTTAAAAATAAGGTCTTATTCACTTCTGCATCCTCAGATAGAGTCAGTCATTTCAAGAATAGGCTAAGAGTCAACCTCTTACAAAAACCAGAATATTATCATTGAAACAAATTGTGGTTATCTTTGAGGTGTTGTATGAGATCCTCCTTAATATTATAGTATTCTTAAATCTAATAATTATTGTATGTAACTCATGACAATACAACTGCCAAAAGGAAGTCAGTTCCAACAAGCTCCAGAAAGACCTCATCAATATGTACTGTAGAAATTACTGTCACAAGCAGCAATATTAAAAAGATTAGTATTTTGGATTAGTAGCACCATGCGATTGTTGGTAATAAGCCAAAAATAAAAGCATTAGAGATTCAATACTAACAGTAAAAAGCAAGGTGTGAATAACAATGACAACAGTGCTACAACTACTACTTACTCTAATACATCTATTACACATTACCTAGTACTATTCTACGTCAATAGTTGACACAAAAATTCAGAAAAATTGCCTCCCATGAGGGAATTAGAAATTTCATTAGTAATGATATAATTCAAGACCTGATGAAACCAAAAATTTGTTTACTATGCTATACTAAAATAAACAAAAACATCTAAGAGGTTCGCAAGCTTCTTGCTGAGAAAATAATACTAAAGTTTAACATTTATTAAATCTTCATTTAATATGATATCCATCAGCCAAATATATATTTTATCATGTGTTATTTAAAAATTAAGGAAAAGCTAGAAGATGAAAATTGGCAGATTCACACATGTGGAGGCGTAGGGTCAGTATAAAGATAACACAATTTTCAACATTTTGAAGTAAATTTTTTCAAACTGAAAACTATTCATCTATATTATTTTCATTAAATAAAACAAATTTTTTCAAAATATGGCTTAGAGCCAGAACTGGATGTATATAAACATATCTATAGCTAACTATGTGATGAAAGATCTAAATAGATTTTAAAGGTGATTTATAGCAAAACGCCATGAAATGTTTAAAGGGACAGTTAGCCATTTTTGGTGGGTTGATTTGTGTCTTGAATATTTGCAAATAGTCTTCAAGTTCAAATCAAATAATTCCTTCAAAAATATCTCATATTATCTCTCTATATATAAGGCAGAGTCTCAAGAAAAGATGAGTTGACATTTTAACTTTCGAACGCAGATTAATCTAGAAACTTCCCTTTCTGAGACTAAGTTATGATTGGACCAACGGATGACAAACTTGTCCCTTTAAATAGAAAATATATAGATGTACTAATAGCAATACATAAATAAGTACTAAAAAGCAAAATTCTATGATATACTAAATTGCAAAATACAAAAATGTGCTAAATAGCAAAATGATGTCTTAAATAGAATTATAGTATAATACAGGTATCAAAACACTACCAGATGTAAATAAATATAGATATTATCTAATCAGTCCTAACTTTTACTACCAAAAAAAGAGTATTCTGTACTGCCCATGGTTCAGTGACTATAATTAGTTGGTATGTCTACTGTAAACAATATGTCATCAGGTCTTTACATTGCAATAAATCTGCCCAATTAAAGTTTCAAAATAAAGTTCTGCCCTAATGTTTGACCAGTATCATATTACATACATACACATCCTTATGACCTCTCTTACAATAACTTTTCTTATTGACTTTCATTCAATTTTCTTAGAACCATTCTATAAACTCCTTGGTTTCTTTTGTATCTTGTTTTGAAATTATTCAATGTAAATTGGCGCATGAATAGACTTCGCCTATGGACCCCACTGAGAACTTATTAATAAAAATATTACTTGGTACTGTCAAATTATGAGTAACAATCTATTTATCTGTTTATCTGAATAAATACGTTAGCCTCCAAACTTTTTATATGGTTTTGAAATGCTAAAACTTTGCAGCTTTTTAAAAATTGCAAAACTTGATCACATATAAAAGTGTGTTTCTATAGTGATCAGATTTGTTTGTTGATATTCCTGATTGATAGGATTCTGATTTCTGAAATTTTAACGACTATCTTCTTTTCAAAGACCAGAGTTTTGCTTAAGAGAACCAAAATTTCAAATTTGATCTAGTGAAGAAGGGCTCTAGACATGAAACATGAAACCTAATACCAGGGTGCCAAGAACAGGTCAAGTTATTGTACCTTCTTAGTGAGATATTATCAATTGGTGACAACGTGCAATATAAATTTGTATCATATCTGTCAAAGAGTAATGAACCATCACATTCCAGTTTTGGCTGTAATGGCCGCCAAGTGGTAGTAAAAGTTAGGACTGTAATAAAAAGATAGAAGATTATATATTATGTTCAGGAAAAACAGAAGAAACAAAACATGCTTAAGAAGCAAAAATATATTTACATTCACCAAATATATCTGGAGATATTTCCTCACATCTTGACCCTCGATATAACTTTGGACATCTGAAATAAGATAAAGATATTTAAAGCTTACAATATACCAACAAATCTTACCAGAATTTCACACCATATTTCTTCCAGAACTGAAGCTGTCTCATGGTTACTTATCAACTGTTAAGGTTGGAATAGGTACAGTATCTTGTGAGGTGCAGGGTACCAGCCCACGTTTCACTAAGTCAAGTCAGTATTTACGTAAGTTTTATACTTACGCATAACGTAAGCATTTACTTACGTCCGTTTCACTAAAGCATGCATAAGTATTTAGTAAAAAAAGTAGTGTAAGTATGAAAATTTGTGACGTAATATCAATACATTATGACGTAAGTCACGCTTGGCGGAAATAAATTGTCTTTCACTGTCACTTTTGTCAAAATGGCATCATCCGCAAGAAAATATAACTGATTCAATTATGATATATCGGCATTTTTCGAAACTGGAAAGATAAATAGGCCTAATTAAAAATTGAACTGAACACTTCTTAAGTAAAACTTTCTTAGTTAGCATTGTCCTAATCTCTAAAAGCAATTTTGAAAGCATTAAATAAAAGACACGTGAATAATATTATGGATATGCTAAACGTGGGCCCTCAATAAAACCCTTGTGCTTAGATTGCATTTCTATTTATAAATAACCAACGAAAGTTTAGATTTGCCACTTTCGTTTTAGTTAATCAGGTCCAGATATTGTGCAGACACAAGTGGCATCCTCTATTTTCTTTTGTATCAAAAATCTAGCACAGTACACCATCCTAGACACCAAACCTTATCAATTCCACTTAAATACCATTACCCTTCAAGAGCGATGGCATAATAGGAGTGTATAGGGTGCTGAAATTTGGGCCAAATTATGTTGCTTTTTTGACTAACAGAAAACAATCAAAGGTTTTATACTTACAAGCAGTTAACACTCCTATTTTCATGTATTTCTAATGCATAGCACTCCCCTCCATTGAAACATTTAGCTATTTTCACCTCAGCATCAGTACAAGGATGACGATGTGTTGGTATTTCAGTTGTGATATGTGAATCTAAGGGAGAGGCTGTGGAGTGTTGAGGTTTGTTTGGGGTTCGACCACACCCTTCTGCAAAACAAGAAATGGAATACATAATATCAAAACTATTTAAATTCACAATGACAAAGCCATGTTGAAAGTACATACAGTATATAAATTTATTATAATCTGGATGGGAATGGATATCTAGAAATATTAATGGTATGCAAATCAATTAAGAAAACTTGAAACCCTTTATGTAGATGATAATCTTAATATTAAACTAGACTTATAATCCAATCATTACACCTACATCAGGACTCAATTCAGTATATTAAGTTATCCAATAGTATCAACAACTTTAGAAATTAATTTGCCTTATATTCAGTTTAAATTTATGGATGGGAATACCAGGCAGCTCATGATTTGAACTGGTTGTACACACTTGATGTATCAATACCAGGAAAGGAAAGGGATTGAAGTGATTGTTATCTAAATTGCTAAGGCAACTAGAGAAATTAGTGGTAACTGCATTTTTCATGAATCAAGCCTTCTGGTAAAGTAAATCCAGCATTTGATCAGAATCTCACACAAACTGTCAGTTTCTATCTGAAGTTGACAATCCAGCTGCTCACAAGATTCTGCAAATCACAAAGTTGACTTAAGCCCCCAATAATACACTCCTACTTTATATCTAATTGAATATAAATAAATATAGCCTACCCATTGTACAATGTTTTTTATAGTGAATTATAATTTCACTAGTATTCACAAATATTTGCATGATACTAAAAAATCCCTTCAATAACATGTTGGCTGGTTATATCGTTGATCAACTAACGTAAAACAAAGATATAAATTTCAAAATGTTACATATACCACAGAATAACTTAAATATGTATCTCTTTAGTTCACAAAACACACTTTGATTCAAATTCAGGTATGCCAATATCACATATTCAATCTGCTGTTATAACTCTTTATTAAAAGCATATAGCAGTATCACACTGGTCAATATTTCTATATTACTGGCACATTTGGGTTTTTTTACCAACTTAGTCTAATTCAATTCTGTCTTTATCTCAAGAAAATCTCTCTCAGGTAATATAATATTGCTTTAATCTTGATAGTAATCCAAATCTAGCAATATCCTACAACTCAGTTTTTATATTCAATGATGCAACTTGTTATACTATTGTGTGTTACTGTAAAAAGCATTCCTAGAAAAGTTTTTACACCTCAGTATATATACTACATACTCCCACTGTCCACACTTAGTCATATCTCTAGAATCTACTTTTTTATTCTCCATTCATTGAAAAATCAATTCAACCACATAAAAAATATTACCAATCAATTACTATAACTGCCTGATGACTAAATTTATCAGGTAATTCAAATAATCCAGTTTCATGTCCATTACAGCCTTACTATATATGATAGAATATTGGATCCAAATTCAAAATAGTTTATGAAAGCATTCCATCTAAAACGAGCAACTTTTTCTCCACAACACAAATTTCCACTATCTTTAAATCATTAAAACATTCAAGTAGATAATGCATCCAAATCGCTTTTGAGAATTAACAGGTAAAGCAATTCAAAACTAAGATCACTACTTAAAAACTAAACTCAGTTTTTTGATTATATACACTAGTCAAATATATATATCTTCACCAGTCTTAAAATCTACCGGTCCAATATCACAATATTGCAGGCAAATAACTGCCCTAGTCAAATCAATGATACAATCTTACTGTAGTATGTAGGCTACCTGAGAAAATGAGTCCAGAATGAATCAGTATGAATAATAGACTGGTAACAGACAACCAACTGATGTTAGCAGAAACAAGGTGTCCCGACAAACTTTCTTTATGATTCATGAAAAATACACCATTCACATTAATGCTGCATCATTGACTACTATTGTATCATTGTGGTGCTGGTAAATGGAATGATAAAGCTAATTCTCTGTAAGATGGTAACATTTGCTTTGAACTCTTTTCAAAAGTATGAAGATTGGACTTTTGGTCTTTATTCTTTTAAATCTAGGCACTGTGTTAAATAATCAAATCCTTAAAATGTATCATAAACCAACATTTACTCTCTACATACTTGAAGTACCTTGAAGACATGAAGACATTTTTCACTTCAAGAATGACTTTTACTCAAAATGTATAATAACTATACACCAATACCATTATGGTACAACACAACAGTTTATAGTTATGATCTTTTCACTACTGAGTTTCACCTTGAAACATACCAATTTCACTGTCAATCAGTTTGGTAGTACAATTGATTGTAGTAAAGAATTAGAAGAATGTGCTGGTACTATAAAAATAGTATTCTATATTTACTATAATGACAATATCATTCAGTGTCTACAGGAACTAAACAGTGGGTCATGGTGTAACTATTATCTGTACTGTATATTAAGTGTTAAGATGTCAAATGATGGTAGTCATATTTACAGCCTACAATATGGATATATTTGTCAGTCAAGATTTTAGTGTGTATTTGATTTAAATTCCCGTGCTATTTACAACTGAAATAATTACTGCTCTACAATTCTTTACCATTCCATTATCCAGAAGACCAAAAAATTCAAATATAGCCCATAGTCTCTAAGTGAATTAAATGCCAGTGATGAAATATAAAAGATGGCTATAGATTTTGAGGATATTTTTAGTATTTGAGTCAATTGTTCCATTGATTTTCATATTTCATAACAATCTGTAATGTTGACTTTATTCTCAGATACATGCTGAATATTAGCTTTCTTTTAAATGGCTTAAAGAGACAGGTTCACTATCCATTTGACCAATACCTTACACATCAAATTCATGTGTACAGAATTATCTGTGCTGAAAGTTGAATTCATGTATTCATCAGACTACACAAAATAGATATGACATATACAGAAATAGAAAGTTAATTTTCTAGTTTGAGATATTTTTGAAGGAATTATGCAATTAGCTGTCAGTTCCAGTATTTTTGAAGACTCTTTACATATATTCAAGACACAAATCAAACCCCGAAAATAGCAAATCTGTCCCTTTAAAGGAGAATACCTAAATTATTACCTATTACCATTATTGTCATAGTAAATAGTAAATTTTGACAGTGAAATTAGGAGAACATCTTTGTTTCGCTTTCATTTAAGTCTGAGTGTCAATTCAAAGGTCTGAATAATTGTCAATCACAATTGAGAAAATTGACATTCCATGTTCCCTAAAGGACACTTACCACAAACCATGATTCTAAACAGGATCACAAAATATTGCATTCATTGCCCACAACAATCAGATTTGCATTGATAATTTAAGATATTGAAGACAAAGTTACACTGATTGCATGACTAATCTCTAGACAGTCAACTTTACCATATGTTACCTTCATAATCAGCAAATTCTCTACTTAACAATTTAATTGATTATACATTTTGATTAATTTAGTCCTTTACTGAATTATTTATGATATTTTACTCATGTATCATTATTAAAGTCTGAATCATTGAATTGTAAAAACCTTAATTTCTGCTAGTTTCAAATAACATTTGTCTTCCAAAACCATAACTCAAGAGGTTCTGCATTTAATATAAATACTTATGACAGATTATTAGTTTAAATTTATTGATAAAAATATCTTGATATGTAGGTATGTGGATGTATTTGAATTGGATCCACTATCTTTATTTTGATGATACTTCAGCGACATTTAGGCGTAGAGATCACATTAAATAACGGACCACAATTTTCAATTTTATGGTATACTACTCCTTAGTTTTATTACACGCTACGTTTCTTTAGTTTGGATTACAAATGGAAATATTAATTCTACTTTGGTCAAAATGACAATGATATGACAATCAAGATATTTTGAAGAAACATTTGTTGTGAAGCTTCTTTAAGTATGATATAGCAGCATGAGATTAAATGTTATTAAATCACAGAGCACCTGTTTTCACATATAACCAAGAAATAAACACATCTTTTAATATTTTTTTAAGATTTTATATAATATTATGATTGCATGAAATTCTACAACTATATTTGTACAGATCTCAGGTAGACAAACATATAAACACAAAAAACCTGTTTCAATTTGGGCTTCACTTCAACATAAAAGTTTAAATAAAAAGAACATCAAAGTTCATTACATTCACATTAAAGCCTTTTTTCTTTTGGTAGTTGAAAAATTGAGATTCAAATGAATTCACCATTTCAGACTGATTTTAACACAATAGAAGAGAAACCAGAACTCATTCCACAACAAATTGTAAACTATTTCAGAAATGTGGTAGGAACGCCAGAAATGTCTTATCAAATCAGTAGAACTGTATAATAAAATCTAAATCCAGTGCCATAAATTTAATTTTGGAAACAACAACTAAAATAGAATGAAGATAAAAACAAGTGGTTGTCCTGAAGTATGCATGTTCAGATAGCTTCTTGTCTTTCCTTTAGTTACTTTCTCAGATGAGAAACAATCTGATTGAAATGCAAATCAGGATGTTTCATGTCAGGTTTTTTCTCTGGTTGACTCCACTTGCCAACCTGTAAATCAGTTCAGTAACCTTTGATGTAAGAGAAAGATTAAAGTGTTCCAGACAATGGTGTAGTAAGACAGTAGGAGGATGATGTATTATGAAATCTAAGAATTCTAGAACTGTAAGTTATGTAAGGAATGGTGGTATTTGACTGGTAAATAGATTTCAAGCTATGATGAAATAACAACTTGTTACATATAAATAAACATCTAAAAACAGGTATTTCATGTCAAAAAATACATCATATATCTCTGATAATTACAATAACTATTTTAATTTGATTTCAAACATTACACACACCTTGCATGCCTCATTGAAGATCCATTTTGAAATTCTGATGCCAAACAAATACCATGTAGACACTTTGTAACTCATGTATACTTTGGTAATTTTCTTTTTCAAGGTGAAAGATTGTACAAGGTCTGTAAATTTATGACTGTCATCATGAACTGTGTTTCCACTGAGAGAAAAAGCCGGCTTTAAGCTAGCTTTTGTTTGTTTCCATTGGGCAAATTGCCAAACCTTTCCGGTTCGGGAACCCAGAACCTCTATTTTTGCCTTCAGCAACTTATCGGGGGCCAACTGATATCTTTCTTAAAGCAGGCTTTTACTTAACCAGTGGAAATGCAGAAAGACTTTATCTCGTTCGGCAATAGGGGGCATACAGCTCTTTCCGGTCTATTGCATTTCTGACTGGTTTAAACAGTAGTCTTGTACATCATGTGTTGTAAATAATGTGAGACTTTGAGATCAAGGCTAAAGTCGTTCGGGAACCAGTTAAACTCACTGTTAACACAACGCTTTGAGCTAACTTTACTTACAATTCTTAGTGGAAGCACAGTAAATGTAAATGATGGATTTTATAAAAATGAAGCAGAAGTTCTGAATAGATAAAAGACTCTATTAAAATGACACATAAAAAAACATAACTAGAAAAAGAAAAGGGAAACAGCCAGATATTGATACAAGAACTCAAGGATCCTTTCTATCCATTATTCATACCCATTTAGAGATGGTTGACTTAAATTATGCAAATAAGGATATGACTAGCTTTTTACATCCCTTCCTTTGACAGAATCAAGCAATTGCAACTTTCAACATTCAAAAGGATGAAATGACAATTCTAGAAAGCTTATGACTGTAAGTAGAGTCAGATTGCTGATACAATCAGAATAAAGTAAGCTAGTCATCAGATATAGAGAATGAAGGTCATTCCATTAGTACAATAGATTGCATGTTAAATAGACATAAACCTAGTG